GCGGCACTAACGGCACGTGTCTTTGATTAGATGCTGTCACCAAGAACAAAATGCAGCAAAGCCGTTCCTGACTTTTACTGAAAAGTGATAAATCTGATCCACAGAGGGAGAGAGGAGCCGTGTGTTAAGTGTTGTCAGTAATGGCCTCGCCTTGGGAAAGGAGCCGTAATGGCCAAAGGAAATGTTGAATTTGTGATCTAATTATGGAAGAAGTGTTGCAAATATTAAGTATCTGCTGGTTTGGCTCTTGTTTCAACCAGGTGATATGCATAGCACACCATGGGAAACGGGGTCTGCGTGCCACCTCATTCCCATCTGCTTGTGCCTCCTCTCACTTCACTTCCTTGCAGGTGGAATGATATTAGCAAATCACGGAAATTATAGATAAAAATCTGTCACTGCACAGCTCCCTGCGTGCGATCTGCCAGAAACACATGGCAACGGTGCCCAGGATTTGCCTGCCAGGTGCAGCCCTGCCCTTGCTGCTATTCAGGACATGCCTAAGGTACCAGTTTAGTACCGCAGGAGCCTGAAACTCAAGGAATCGTGAAACCGTTGGCTTGTTGGTCTGTGTGCTGAGCTCTCTTGCAAGCATCATTGAATTTCTGAAGCCATAAGTTCTCCTGTAATAAGTGTTCTTGTTGTGAGCCCATGGAAAAACTATTACTGTGTTAACCTGTCAACTGTTCCTCAGGTCATGCTTCACATCTGACTCTGGGGACCAAGCTGGCATGGATTTTTCACAGTGGGGGACAGTTGCTGTAGCAGGCTGTTGCTTATCCTGCAGAAGGAAAAAAAAAAAAGTAGTGTAGCAATTTTATAGTAATCCAGTGAAAAATGGACTTAAAAAAACAATAGTGGGTTGGGGATTTTGCTTGTTTCCCATTGTTCTGTTTTGGCTACAAAGTATTGCAGAAAAGTGCTTGCATGACAGGGAATGACAGTGCCAAGAGAAAAGCCCTTCAGGGGAAATGCACCCCTCCCTAGGAAATGCTAGAGTTAACTAAAAAAATCCCAACCCTGCAACCTCCATACATATGCAGATAGCTATGGAGATGTCTGGAACATAATACTTAGAGTAATTTTTTCAAGTGGCTAATGGGTCTTTGATAAAAGGTGCTTTTGAGACATTTTCTTTTTTTTTTCTCTAAATGTCTGTGAGTAAAATCTGATTTCCTAGCAAGCCAGCGCTAACGTTTGATACAGAGTTGAGTCCCCCCATCATTCTGAGAAGAAAAGCTAATGTATTTGAAATGTTCTCTGTGTTTGTAGGTGACGGCAGGGTTGTGGCAGAGTTAACCACAAAGGAGGTGTCTTAGAGTCACCTGGCAAGTTACTTTAATTAGATAAGTGCAGTCTCACCTGAATGAGCTCTTCCCACCACTGCACCAACTCACTAAAACTTAGCGCAGCTTCGGATGGCTGATCTGAAACTGCTTGAGGTTGGGAAGAAGGGAAATGGGATGAACTTGCATCCTATGGATCCTGCTGGAGGGCTGTCCAGGTCCAACGACCATCAGGGCATGTTGCTGCAGCAACTCCATCTTATTAAGCTTGGTGCTTTACTGGTTCAAGACTTCATGGTCTCTGTACTACAGCTAATTTCTGTACCAGGACTGTTGAGTCTAATGTGAAACAAGCGCGTTGTAGGGTATGAGGGATTGTGTGGTTTTGGGACTAGGAAACAGTAATAATAAAATTATGGGGTTTTGACTGATGCTTACTTAATACGTTGGTCCTTGGCCTGCAAAAGACCTGCAGCCAGGAATGTAGCATCCGCCCTCCAGCCAGGGGATGAGCTTGAAATGACCATGTCATTAAAAAAGCCATCCAGAAAGATGTGGCTCCATCTGACATCTGCACCGCAAAGTCCCTGACAAGATAATGCAGATATGTCCTCCCCACCCTTTCCTTGATGATCTGTGGCAGGAACTGTCTGAAGTTTTAAGCCAAATTACCAGGTTCTGAAAATAAAACTATTCACCTACTCTGTGCTTTCTGATCTTTTTCCTTCTTTCCTTTGTTTTGGGTTCCTGTGCACTTTTTTGCAGTGCAGGTTATGTTGACTGTAGGCTAGTTAGGCTATAATTGTGGCACAACTACAACTCAGTCCTAATGTTGTCACAATTATCTCTGTCTTATTTAAAGTGTAAATCATGCTTCAACCCTGTCCTCTTTAGCATCTCTCCTTTACCTTACCCTTATCAGCTTTGTGGTTTGGGATTCTGGTACATTAGCTACTCAATCCACTTCAAGCAGCCATTTGGGAACCCATTCCCCTCTGTATTCACACTTACTGTGGAATCCTGTAGTCTTGCTGAGTGTGGATGTGGAGCCTGCCTTTGGGTCACTTACCTGTTTATCTCTCAGGGAGTCCCGTGGGCTTTTCAGGAAGATACCTCGATTTCCATTGCGTACTCCCCTGTGCTGTGGGTAGAGCCCTGGACTGCAGCCTCGGTGTCTTGTTCGCCAGTCCCCTGTCAGATGGGCGAATCACTTTATTGCCATCTTTCAGGTTCCTGCTCTATAAGAGGCAAATTGCAGCAGACCTCCCTTACAAAGTGCTTTGGGAGCCCCGGATGGAAAGTGCCACGCGGAGCTGGGCACTGCTGCGTACCTGCGCTGCGCCATTGCCAGTGCAGCTGGGATGGGAGCTGCAGTCTGAGATGGACCCTTACTCCTCTGTGGCATCCAGCATCCCTCTGTAATTACTGTGGCAATGCACTGCAGATGTTCAAGAATAGCCTCTGGAAGCAGCACCTTTCCAGAGGCTGCCTAAGCTGTAACATAGTGTTGGCTGTGCCCTGGACAAGCAGACTGAGTGCTGCTGCTAAGGCAGACATTCCCGACAGCTGGGGCAGGGCTTGACATAAATACCAAGACATTGACGTTTGCATTTTTTGTTTTCTGGACACATTCACAATTCTGTTAGAAAAGGGCTGTTCTTGAAAATATGAAGGTGTAGCGAAATTCCTTTTGAAAAACAGCCTTGTGCTAAAGCAATTAAATAATGTTTATGTCAGATAATTAATTCCAAGGGACAGATGAAATTGTTGAAAGGCAAAATAATGGAGTGAAAACCGTCTGCAGGTTTTTGAAGCATTTCTTATTGGAAAGGGAGGGCTTATTACTAAGATTAGCTTTTCAGAGGTTTTAAAGTAGAGTTCAATAGCTATAAAGGCTGAATTGTTTGGCACCAGGATCTTGGTTTGTAGGTCTGATGTCTGCTTGCAGTTAATGTAGGTGCAATAAACATATATGTGCAAAAGAACTAACAGAAAAAACCAGTACCAACACCATAAGAAGTGTGTTGCAGCAAAATGCAAGCATAATTAAGTGAAAAAAAAATTGATACCCATTTCTGAAAAACGGGACAACTCTAAAAAAACAGTGAAGCAGTTTTGAATGATCACCAGATCTGATGTTGTCTCTGGATTTGCCCCCTATGCCTATACCTTTCTGTGTCCTGTATGGCACCTATACTGTGCTAGAGACAGCACCGCTGCCTGGTGCTGATCCGTACGTACAACAGAGGTACTTTCTTCTTCAGTAAAAGCAAGAATTACTGTCCCTCTCCATCCTTAGGAAGCCCAGGCAATAGCAGCATGCCCACGCCTCCAAGTGGACAGAGAAACTGTATCGAGAAGCATGCTCACAGCTCCTTGAAGATGGGACTTTTTTTTTTTCTGATTTTCAGGTTGACTTTCACCATATTGTGTGCTTGCTTGCAAGGTCACCTCTGACAGGGGAATTGCATTCTTAGTTTTTCTTACCTGATAGCAGTCTCACTGGGAAGTTGCCCAGATGTCCCAGTACAGACCAGGAAAGCCTGTAGATCTCTGGCTGGAGCATGGGCAGGTGTGATGAGCCTGTCTGCGTTCAAGCATGGGAGTCAGCTGGGGTTCAAGATGTGCCAGTGTCTGGGCAGGGCTGCTCTTCTGTCCCTGTGTATTGGTGGTCCCCAAGTCTTATTCCAGATCCTTCTGCTCCCTTTTATCCTCAGGGAGAGCTGCCTGGACTAAGATAGCTTTTTAAGTCTGAAACTAAATCAGGTGCTAAGTAACTGCATTGAAGAGTTATAGATAAGCTAATGAAATTCCTTGAGCACCAGGAATTGAAATTCCTTTTTAAAAATGCCAAGTAGAATTAGCAGCTTACCGAGTACGGCAACTGAAAGCACTCCGTTTCCAACTCGGAGAGGGGCGCCATGGAAGAATTAACTTGAATTAAGGTAAATAATTACTGAATTGATTTAAAGTTATATAAGAATAAGACTTCAGTTCAAAATGTGGTTCGCTTCACAGAAAACGCCTCAGTAGTGCGCAGAGAGCCGTGAAAGTGCCGGGAGGCTTGAGTGCTGGAGAAGACCATGTGTGGTTTCATGGAAGGGCAACAAGGAAGCTCTGCTAGCGCATCTCAGCTGTTCTGGACTGGGCGCAAGAAGGGACGGGCTGGCCCTGATGTAGACGTGCAAGACATGGGCAGGGACTCCTGACTTTTGACGTGGGCTCCGCCACCCGCTCCTGCTGCGGCGTTGGCTGCAACACTCTCTCTCCCACCTCAGCTTCGCGATTTGTAAACTAGAATCGATAGCAGCCACCACTGGGGTTGTTTAGAGACTTCCCTCTGTTAAAATGCTTTTCATTTCCACGCTGCTCCAGTAGTGCTCAGTATTACTGTTATTACATGATGCTTTCCTAGCCTGCTGTTCAGAAAAGCAGCTGCCTTCCACGGGCTGGTGTAAGCTGCCATTATGCCGGGTGGTATTATGTACGCTACTGTACTTCTGGCATCCGGGTCTATCATTTGGGTTAATTTGGAAATTGTGTAGTGACTTGAGGAAAAATACTATTGAATTGGAGTTTGTTAGCTCGGAAAATATAATTAGTCCAAAAAAACCTGTTACTGTGTAATAAATACAATACTGGATGGTCTTGCATAGAAACCAGAGTACTGGAATATAACTTTTGGTACCTTTTCCTTTTTTGTTTTTTTTCCAGTATGGGGTACTGCATCCTTTTTGTCCATGGTCTAAAAAAGCTGTCTACATGGTTAAATAAGTGGAGAATTGCTGTTCTGACCCTCTTTGCTTTACTGCTGCTGCTCTTCTCTTGGAAGACCGTGAAACAAAATGAAATCTGGCTGTCACGAGAATCCCTCTTCAGGTATGAGTTACCACAGGAGAATACTTGCATTTTTGTATCGCTTAAAATAAGTTTGTTACATGGGATGGTTTTCTTTAGCATGATTCCTGCTATTGATGCGTTGCTGTGATTACCATTTTGATTATTATAAAACAACACCTACTTTCTGTTTCCTGGCACCTGTGCAAAAACTGGTGTCAGCACTTTATACGCTTATGCACAAACTTTGGTTCTGACAATTGCGTTTTTAAGACAAACTGTTTTTAAATAACTTCAGTTTTGTAGATTTATCAATAACGTAACACTTTCTTTTTAAAAGACATGGCAAAAGTTTGTTGCAACCCTCCAGAACACCATAGTAACACTATTGAATATATCGAATTTTCTTTAGTGATGTTCTTAATGACCAAAATGAAATGTCATGAAGTGCCAAACTTAATGTACCATATTTCATTTTATTTGATTACTCTTTGCCAAACAGCTCTCTTTACAACCTCATTTATATATTTTTTTTGCACTAAAACAGACTGTTTCATTTTGTGTTTTGCTAGCAAATGTATTGCATTTGCCTCCAGCTGCTTTCAGCAGTTGTCTAATTGTGAAGTAATTGCAGAAGCGCAGGTGATCTGCACATGGGTTGCTTAGCTTTATTTTCTAACTTATTGGCCAGAGCAAAGTTTAATTTATGCAGCACTAAAGAGTATGAAATTATTTTTTATGTGTACCCTTTGGTCTTCAGGAAACACTATTGATGTGATTGGAGCTCCGTTAGTGGGATTTAAAAAAAAAAAAAAAATCTGGAATAGGGGTTTCTTCATTCCAACACGATTCATTGCCTGTCTCTCTCAGCCTTGAAAAGAGAAGACTTCGGGGGGACCTAATAGCTGCCTTCCAATACCTGAAGGGAACCTACAGGAAGGCTGGGGAGGGACTTTTTACAAGAGTGTCCACTGATAGGACAAGGGGAAATGGGTTTAAGTTGAAGGAGAACAGATTTAGATTAGATCTTAGGAAGAAATTCTTCAGTACGAGGGTGGTGAGACTTTGGAATAGACTGCCCAGAGAGGTTGTGAATGCCCCTTCCCTGGAGGTGTTCAAGGCCGGGTTGGATGGAGCTTTGAGTAGCCTGATCTAGTTGAGAGGCGTCCCTGCCCGTGACAGGGAGGTTGGATTAGATGATCTCTGAGGTCCCTTCCAGCCTATGCCATTCTATGATTCTCTGAAATGCTGTTTGCTGTTCAAATAACAGCAGCCATGGTGATGGATCTGGGCTCATGCAGCGATCCCCGTGAAGCGCACCTCGAGTCCAAACCCTTCTGGCTGTAACGGTGACCACTTGGAGGAAAGCCGGACACCTTTCCAAGTCGGATGACTGTCTTGTTGAAAGGGGAGTGGGAAGATGGCAATTCCATATGCCGAGTTGCAGGCATCATCCAGTATCGCGTTGCATATAGTTGTGGTCGCCCATGTTTAAGAACGATGAAGTTGAATGGGAGTGGATGACAGGAGGAGATCTCCTTCTGTGAAGGGGGACTCTTGGGATGGGATAGGGTGCCGGGGGGTCTGTTGCAAAAGAGAAGGATAAGGTTATGTCTGCTTAGTTGGACACAAATGGACCTCTGTCCATCCTACCTCCATTCAAAACAGGGTGGCCATCTGCAAGCCAGCTCAAATTCAGCAAGCATGCCAGCACTTCAGTGCAGCACTGAGCTGGAGCTAACACACCTTGCCTCAAGGTACGGATTTGGTGTTTTCCAGAATAGTACGCGGGCTCAGTGGCTTGGGTTGAGCTGGCTCACTCTTCAGTTCACGTCTTTTGACGACACTTCCAGGAGAGAGATCTGCCCTGAGCTTTTGAGGAGAAGGCAAGAATGTAGGGGTGCTCCTGCTGGGTGACCTCATATCGTGGCCTGCCCCTGAGAGCAATCAGCAGCAGATGCCTGGAAAAGTGATGTAAGAACAGGGCCAGCAACAGTGATGCTTCTCTCCAGTCCTTTCCCAGCTTGCAATAATCTGCAGTTTAAAGACTTCCTGAGTCAGGAGTTAACTTGCTTTTTTTGCTTTTAACAGGCACTGATGGACTTTTCTTCCATTAATGTCTCTGACTGCTTTTTTTTAATCTATTTATAGTTTTGGCTTCTACAGCATCCTGTGCACTGGGCTCCATTGTTAAATTACACTAAGATTTCCCTTCTGTGTGCTGTGAGCCTTCTGCCTGATCATAGAATCATAGAATGGTTAGGGTTGGAAGGGACCTCAAAGTTCATCTAGTTCCAGCCCCCCTGCCATGGCCAGGGAAACCCTCCACTACACCAGCTTGCCCAAAGCCTCATCCAACCTGGCCTTGAACACCTCCAGGGATGGGGCATCCACAACTTCTCTGGGCAACCTGTTCCAGTACCTCACCACCCTCAATGTAAAGAATTTCTGCCTTAAATCTAGCCTAAATCTGCCCTCTTTCAGTTTAAATCCATTGCCCCTTGTCCTGTCACTACACGCCCTTGTAAAAAGTCCCTCTCCAGCTTTCCTGTAGGCCCCCTTTAGGTACTGGAAAGCTGCTATAAGATCACCCCGGAGCCTTCTCTTCTCCAGGCTGAACAGCCTCAACTCTCTCAGCCTGTCTTCATAGCAGAGGTGCTTCAGCCCTCGGATCATCTTCGTGGCCCTCCTCTGGACTCGTTCCAGTAGCTCCATGTCCTTCTTGTGTTGGGGACTCCAGGGCTGAACACAGTATTCCAGGTGGGGTCTCACGAGAACTGAGTAGAGGGGCAGAATCACTTCCCTCGACCTGCTGGCCATGCTCCTTTTGATACAGCCCAGGATACAGTTGGCTTTCTGGGCTGCCAGCTCACATTGCCGGCTCATGTTGAGCTTCTCATCCACCAGCACTCCCAAGTCCTTTTCCTCAGGGCTGCTCTCAATCCATTCTCCGCCCAGCCTGTACTTGTGCATGGGATTACCCTGACCCACATGCAGGACCTTACACTTGGCCTTGTTGAACTTCATGAGGTTCTCACAGGCCCATCTCTCCAGCCTGTCAAGGTCCCTCTGGATGGCATCCCTTTCCTCATCCATCCCATCATCTTGTTTGATGTCCCCTAGTTCTGGTGTGCTGAATGAGTAGTGAGTAACCGTCAGCTCGTCACTTCTCCTCTGCCTTCCATGCCTTTATCCCCATGCTCTCACCCAAGGCTGTCTCTTTTTCACACTGGAGTCTGCTGGTTTTGAACTCTCCTCATATGGAAGCTGTTCTGCATTTCCGATCCTGCTTGTCAGTCTTTGCTGGATGCTTTCATACTCTTATCCATCCTTACAAGAAGGAGACCAGAATCACCTTTCAAGAGATATGTGCAGCTCGGTTAAGTAGGACTGGGTTTTGTTCTCTTCTCCTACTAATTCCTGATCTTCCACTTGACTTTTGTGACCTTGCCTAAGCACTGGGTAATATTTTCACAGCACTGCCTGCATAAACTCCAAGATTCCTATTGTGAGTGGAAGCGTCTCTTTTTATAGACATCAATCTGTGCGCAGATTTATGCAGGTTTAGAGTGTGTGTGTACACACTCTCTGATACTCGTGCCTGTACCAGAATTGCATTTCATCTGCCATCTTCTTGCCCAGCCTTCAATACTGTGAGATCCTTCTGCAAGAATTTGTAGTTAACTTTAATTCCTGCAGTGTGATTCATATCAGTGTAATCAGCAAACATGTTGCCTCTCTGTTTGCTCCCTTTTCGAGATCCTTCGTGAACACGTGAAGCAGCTCAGATGCTTGCATGTCTTTTGGGAACTCTGCTTGCAGTCTTCTCCAGTTGTAAAAACTGTTCACATATTCATGCTCTTTACTTGATATCTTTCAGCTAGATACTGATTCAGGAGGTGACCTTCCTTCTTACTCCATGATGCTTTTAAGAAATCGGAAGTCTTTAGTGAGGGATTTTATCAAAAGCCATTTTGAACATTTAAGTGCACAACCTTGATGTATGTGATTCTGAGTGACTGCGTTATATTTGGATTTTCATAAAAGCTTTCCATAGTTTCAGTACCACGTACCTGTTGAGTCTATCAAAGAGCAACAGATCTGCCCAACTTCTTTCTGCAAAATACAAGGTTAATTCTTCTCTGTTGGATTGTAGTTATCCAGAAGTTTGCTAGAGCTAGACTTTATTGTGGTTTTCCACAAATTACCTGGAGTGGAAATCAGACTTGCTGGTCTGTTGCCCTCTAGATCCCTCTGCTGGAGCCAAATGATGTCATGTTCGTCACCTCCTGTTTCTCTAGTGCCAGCCTCATTTAAACGATAGGCTACATACTGCAGCTAATAGCAGCTTCACGTTTGATTTCTTTTGGATGCATACTACCGGGCCTAATGAATTTAAAACTGTTCTTGGTGTTGATTTGTTTTAAAGCCTCTTTTACTACCACTTCAGTTTGAGACAGTGCTTTGGACTTGATCCTGTAAGGAAAGACTCCCATGTGGCAACCTCCTTCAGTTCCCCTGTAGTGAGCACTGGTGCAGATAATCCATTTAGCTTTTCTGCCGTGGCCTTTTCTTTTTCAAGCACTACTTTTAGACCTCCATCATCTATTTGCCCTAGGGGATCTTTGGCGGGTTTCCTATGTCTGATGTATTCCATTATTAACTTTGATGGCTTTAGCAAGTTTTTCCTTAAATCTCTTTGGTCTGCCTGATTATGGTTTATGTTTTAACTTACTGAAGTTTATACTCTTTTCCTTTTTCCTTCTGTAGCTGTGACGTTTACTTTTTAAAGGGTGTTCTTCATTGCTTATAGCCTTTTTTACTATGCTTTTTAACTGTATTGGCCTTTTTGTTGTTCTTTGAAGATCTTTGATGGGCGTTATACATCTCTTGTGAGTCTGTAATATGGTAGGACTCTTCTTGTTGGTGGGAAGGAAATGCAAAAGAAGAGTAGTATAGCAAGAAGATAATGTCATGCCAGGAGTGGGAGATCTCCTCTTTGGGGCAGAAGGAGGAGGCTATATATAGGCTGGTGAGGAGAGGAGGGAAAAGTGGATGGAGGCATGTGCAACAACAATAAATTAGAAAGGACAGAGCAGGAGGAGGAGATAAGGAACAGTAAAGAAGTACGAGGGAAAATAATAAGGAACCAGAGCAAATCTATAGATGTGGGAAAGGAGACGTAAATCAACTTACTTGGTAGTCCGTGTGTGTTGAATTTTTAATTTTTTTTTTTAAGTATGTGCTGAGAGAATCTTTACTCCCATTCTTAGTTCTTCATTCTTCTTTTCCCAGTTGCTGCTTTAATTAATTACTGCTTTTTTCCTTCCTATTACTTTTTTTCCTTCTCCTCTACTTTCCATTTCTCCATTTGCTTGGATGTGTTTCTTCAGGGTCAATCTGTCTCGATTCCCTTGGCTGAGATCTGTTCTGTTTTACATGCTTTCTCTATGCTTGTTCAGGAAACGTTTGTACACTCAGCATGTTATCAGTTTTGTGCTTGTACCCCATTTCATTCTACTGTCAAGGCTTACCCTGCTTTGACATTGTGCAGCAGCACTCTCGCCATCTCTGGGCCATCCTGACTCTCAATCTCCAGCCCAGGGTCCAAGTTTTCTGGATGCAGAAATCCTGCTGGGTCCTGGCTGAAAGGAGCAGCATGGGTGAGGATGCTGCTGTCTTGAGGAAGTGATGCATCGACACATAGGTGCACAAGTGCAAGGACTAAATGAGAAGCAAATGAACTACAGGTACAAGAAGTGGCCAAATATCTCTAGATATTTGAGGCATACTATTCCAACAGATCTCTAGAAGCCCCAAGCAGTTTGTCTTACTGTATTGGCAGGTGGGCAGGGAGGTCTTAATTGTTAAATATTTAAGGAACTACCCTATAGAGCGAATGCACAGGCCAGTAGGTCAGGCTCCAACCGTGGTCGGTGTTAATGTCTGAAGCCAGGGAGAGGGAGATGAGGGCTGTGGGCTAACCTCTGCGTCCGCTGGACTGACCTTCTCAAGGTTTGTCAAGCTGCCACGTTTCCTGTTGCTCCTGGAAAGCATCTGCATGTGCTGCCCGCATTTGTGACAGTGCCTGGTGGAAACGCAGTTGTAACCAGCAAAGGAACTGTATAAAAGTGGCACTTTCTTAGTCAGCAGTTTTCCCTCCCAAGCCGGGTCTGCTGGCTTCAGTAATTTGCAAAAAACAACCCAGCCCCAAGGGTGGCATTCACTGCTGTGTTCTTGTGTTAATTCTGAAAGCTAGCTCAGCTGAGGAGAGCAAGTCCTATTGCATTTTGTGTGTCTTCTGTAGAGCAGTTTAATATGGCCCAACATTGATATCTGTGAAATCAATACAAGGTAGGAGGGCAGGGAAAGCGGTTGTTTGTATCATCAAGAGAATCATTTTCTGTAGAGAACCTTTAATGATGAGAATGATTCCCAAAGCAGAGGAGTCCCCATGGTCTTCCAGGGCTCCTGCTGAGGCAGGAGAGGCCTCGTTTCCCTGTAAACTGAGCGCTTTTCATACGGAAATCATAGAAAACCAATGAAGCCTCTGTCCTGCACCGGGTCACATTGCAGAGCAGAACGTGCACTTAGGAAAACAGCAGAGAGGATCACAGGAGACTTTTCCCAACTGAAGTGGGTTTAGGTAATGATGCTGGTATTTGAGGCTGGAAAATACCAGAGGTATTTTATTTCTCTGATTTACGGCTAGTAGACTTTTGCCTTTCCATGTAGAGCAAGTGTTATGTAAAAGGGTTTGCCTCTTGTTTATTTTCCATTTATGTCGCTTACTGCTGTCGTAGAAGTCAAAAGGGAAGGAAATCCTCCGGAGAAGTGACGTCCGATCTCAGTGGGCTTGTTTCTGGCTGGAGCCAGATTGGTGCCATAGGTTTTCAGAAGGACATGTGTGTGCTGGGCTGAGGAAGAGGGAAACAGGAGAGTTTGGAAAAGCACGTTGGAAAATTAGATTGAAATTGTGAGAGACTAGGGGCTTGTGGGAAGCAGAAATGGAAAAACATTGTGTTCTGCTTTGTTATTTATACTCCACCCTTTCCTGCTTGGCTTTCATTATGGACATGATTATTTCCTCTGTGAACAAGCAAACAGCCTTCTCGACTGGTCAAGGATCAATTAGCAGGAGTGTTTGCCTAAACTCTCCTAAAAAATCCCCTCCACATCCAGCGCTGTGTTTGCTACTACCTCCCGCAGCGCAGAGACTCCAAGCAGCCTCAGTGCTTGCTACGTGCGTTTGCAAAACGAAACACCCCCCTTCTTGCCTGTGCGAGGAGAATAAATAGGTCAGGGAGTGTGAGCAGCGTGATACAGAAGAGAGCATTGCAAGAACCCAAACCCGAACCGATTTCTGCCTTTCCTATATCACCCCACTCAAAGCATGCAGATGAAAGCAGCTTTATTAGTGATGTTTTAATAAATGGGATCAGCAGGATTGATAACAAATTCTACTGGAAGGGAAACAGTCCAGAATTAAAATATTTAAGCATGTGCATCTTGCTGTTAAAACCGTGTCACGTTAGAACTGAAGTACTTGTGTGTGTGTGTGTAATGTACTCCTCGCCATTGACTCGGTTTGCTCTGTTTCAGCAGGGGCTGTAGCAGAGCCAGCAACTCATCGCACGTAGCTCTGAGATAGCAGCAGCTTTGAGTGCCTGTCCATGACAGTGCAGAGTCATGCCCGTAACGCTGGCGTTGATGTAATGAAACCCTCTCTGTACAAGAATTAATATTCCAGTAATGCCCAGAGGTTGTAAGTGTGTAGTTAATAGCTCCCAAGGCCAATGGAAATTAACACAGCCATAGCAGTCACACATTACTTGCTGCTGGTGCAGTATATCTCTGTGAAAACTAATATAGAAAATCATTCTCTTAAGAATAGCATCAATTAACTGATTTAATTCAGCGATTAGTCACAAAATGTCTTATTCCTGTAGTGCTCCCAGGAAGTAATTTGGAAATACCTGATGATTAGGAAGCCAAATGCAAGGTGTGTTTTTAATTTCTGTAGGCAAACCGTGGCTGTGTTGTGCTGAACTCTGTGAGGCAGCCGTGGGCGAAGGTTTGGAAGCTCTCACGAGTAGGCATTAGTGACAATTGATAAAAGATGCCGTTATTTGCCGCTACAGTTCTCCAGCACCGTTTTACAACGAAATCCCCGACAAAGGGTTTCCGCAGCTGTGAGTGCATTCTCCCCACGGGAGAGAGTGTGCACCCCACTGCAGGGGCTGTGTGCAGTCCCGTCTCATCATGATCAACTTCCTTGCTCACCGAAGTTAAACAGGAGAGGCAGACAAGGCAAAGCAAGAAGACTTGGGATTTTCCTAGTCTCTGCTTTTCCTACCTGAGGCAGGTGGGTTAGAGATGATGGGGGGAGAAAAGACAGCAGGTGACAGGGATCTGCTTGTGAGCAAGAAACAGCGCTTTGTCTGCTTTTACATGAACAGATTCATCCATCCTTATTTCCCATTGCCTCAGAGAGCCCTTATTTATGTGCTGGAAAGAATTCCCCCCTTAAACAGAGTACCAAACTCTCTGGATTCTTGCAGGGGAAATGCTTCCCTGGTGTACATGCTCCTGTGATTTCTTTTTCTCTTTAACCTTGAAACGGTGTTTCCTCTAGCCATGCAAGGTGTACCTTGCTTTCTGTGCTCTCAATTAAGTAAATAAGCATATGCTTGCTCTTCTCCTTTTGTCTTTGTGCCCTCATTATTAATTCCGAATGTTGAATCCAATCTACATGGCAAAGGAGATGAAGGGGAGGGATGGGGTGGCTGTGCAGCCACATGCCCACAGTCGTATGTTATAATGTGAGAGTGTACGACTTGCCAGCTAAGGGTGAGAGTCCCATTAGCCCTCACCTCCTGGCAATACTTTGCGAAGTGGTGCATGCATGCTGGCTCGGTACTCAGAGTATGCTATGCATCCCCTCTAGTGGCTGATGCTTATGGAAAAGGTATATTCTTTCTGGTACCTCCAGCTGTCAGATTTAGATGAAGATTTTCATAAGGTGCTTCATGAGACTCAGGTTTAAGCAGGGAGCCTGTTACGGCTATATGTTAGCCTCTAAATGTTAGCCTTTTTAGGGTCTTTCAGTTTAATAATTCGGCATTTGAAACACGACAGCATCTGGCCACAGGGAGTGTTGCGGTGTTGGTGCTGGAGGTGCCCACAGTGACAGCAGCCAGGACAAGTTGAACTACTGCCACGTGTTTGTGTCTGCCCGGAGCACCTGGTGTACCAGTGTGCGGGGCAAGCTTGGGGTTGTGACATGAGTTGTGTTGGCATGAGTGCGCAGGAGGTGACGAGGCACTAGAAATCCAGGTAAACTTTTCAGAAAAGGGACTGTGAGAAGAAGACAGACCTCAGGGAAGGTGAGGTCACCCCACCGACTAACACCATCCTGCTTCTGTTCCTCTTTGCAGCTCAGGAGTGAAGACCCTGCCCCACAACGCCAAGGTGCACTACAACTACGCCAATTTTCTGAAGGACCAGGGCCGTAACATTGAGGCGATCTACCACTACAAAACTGCTCTCAAGTAAGTCCCTTGAGGGCCTGGTGGGGCTTCTGGCTGTGCGGTGCAGTCTGCCGTTAGCCCAGCCCTTCCCTGGCGGCCATGGGATGGGTTGCCTGCTCCTCACCCCCAGCTCCCGGGGGGCAGCTCAGCTTTCGGAGGCTGGGAAAATTCCCTGGCTTGGTGTTTGCATGTCATTAAATGAGGTAGCCCGGCTTCGCTCCAGCTCCGTGTGTGTGTGTGTGTGCACACTTCGATATATGAGATAGAAATGTTACCATAGCTACACGTTGAGCAATGAGGTGTCATTTACTCGACTGAATGTATGCTGGTAAGCAGGAGGTAGTTGTCATAAATGCATTTTCAGGTTCCTGGGCCATTTATCTTAGTAAATTGTTAATGGTGCATGCCTGGAAAATGCCAGCGCTGTAGCCATCTGAAGTGCAGTAATAATAATGGTACTTACTACTTGTATTGAGGCTTCTGTCCACAGAGCTTTGCTTGAACACTAAACTAATTGATCCTGAAAATGCTCCTGTACAGTACCAGGGTAAATAGCATTACTGTGCTTCTGTGCAGGGGGAAGCTGAAGCAGGAGGCTGAGTTGCCTTGCTCATGGATGGGTGGTAAATGTGGGCCTAGGGTTGGGATGTAATACGGGAGGCTTGTCTGGTATCTCTGAAGGACCCTCCCAACCATCCTCAGATGCGAGCAGCATCCCTCCGCTCGCCGCTTCTGCCAGTGCTGTTGGTGCAGCTCAGCCAGGGCCTTGGCTGCTCCCTGCTGCCCTGGCAGTGCTCCGTGCAGCAAGCAGGTCCCCACCTCTCCCCTCTGGTCCTGGGGGCTTGGGCGAAGGGATGAACCCCTCAGGGGAATTACTGCAGGGAAAAGTGGGGGAGTGGCAAGGAAAAGCAAGCATGGACAGTGCAGATAATGTCTTCGGGGGTGGGGGGAAAAGCATATGTGGGAAGGACAGACAAGGTGAGGAGTGGCTTTGATGCACAGCAAGGGCAGAGCTGGCTCCATAAGGCATGTCAGGAGGTGCAAGAAATGCTCTTTCCTGACACATGGTGTGGCAGGAGACTCCAGAAATTGCATCTATGTTTTGTCTTCTGGCCAGCTGACAGGGTTATGCCAACGGCTTTCCAAGGGCTCCTAACCCGCCCAGGTTAAGCTGGGAGGATGGGAGTTCATTGTCACTGAGGAAGGCCTGAACCTGGGTGAAGGTGATTTTTAGCTTTTTTGAGCAGTGTCCTGTTCTGTTTCGCCATGCTGGGCATTTAGGAAGTCATTTAGAAAAACCTCCATCCTATTTTCTAATGTTTCCAGGAATGGAAAATCCAGCACAACCATCAATAAATCGTACTGAAGGTTAATTACCTTGGCTGTTGAAAATGTCCTCCTTTATTTTTAGTTTGATTTGTTCAATGTCAGCTTCCAGTCATTGGATTTGTTTACACCTTTAAACACCCCACTGAAAAACCCATTACCAAAAGCCTGTTTTCCATAGAGTGATCAACTCCTCCCTTAACCCGCTGCTTGATGCAACCCGCTGATGTAGCTGCTGGTGTTTTCAGTGTTATGCGAGTTTTTGCAATCCTCCAGTTGTTCCTGTAGCTAGCCTCTGAACTTTCTCCAACTTACCAGAAAAGGCCATTGCAAGTTAAAAAGAAAAGGAACTAACAAATATTATCCAAGCCTTGCAAGTGAATGTGCTAGTACACAGAGTAACGTAACAGCTTTCTGCTCCTACCGACGTCGCGTCTGCTTGTGTAAATGGGATTTGCTGATAAAAGATTTTGCTCTTCTCTAACTCAGCAGCTCCCATTTATTATAATTATAATGCTGTCTTCTGCTCTGCAGTATTTCAATTATGAAGGAGTCTGTTTTGAGAACTGATTGCAAACATTTCCTCAACTTTATTAGATAGCATGGTTTGTGCTGATGGTATTATTGTTTATAGAGCATCCAAAGCCTCGTCAGGACTTGAAGCTACGCAGAACCAACCAAACTCTTCTCTAGATGCTCAGTGGCACCTGGGCTAGTGCTCCAGTTACTTCAGTAATTTCCGGATTAGTTGGGAGTTTTGAAAAGTGAGTCGCTGTCCCCACCTCACGTGTTCGCTGTCTGACGCAGCAGTGCAGACCGGGAGTCAGAAGTCTCATGCCAGCTCCATCATTTGGAAGCTGCATTACTTGATCCCACCACCTCATCTCTCTGCACTTACACTTTCCTTATTTTTACCCCTCCTTCCCACCTCTGTCACAGGGAAATCATTTGGGGCCTCTGTAATAAGCGATAAAACAGTGTAAGTAAAAAAGAGTAGTGTGTTCTCCTGTTGTGAATTACATTCTGTGTTTTCCCCAGAGATATACTCCTTCTGAAATGCCTGGGGTTGCATATAGGCCTTGCAGCCTCTGCTAGGTGCCTATGCGTGAAGGCTGTGTTGAAGTGGTGGAGAAGGTGATGGGTGTGGGACAGGCAACGCGATGGTGGAATATAGTGCAAGACCCTAGACGGGTATCTCAGATAAGAACAGATTTCATGTCCAAGCTATTTATACATCCTCACAGGCCCCAGCTTTGCAACCACTGCTCTGTTTGTAGACCAATTACTCTGCAATTAGAGAGAAGGAAGTAGTACCTGTAATATCCTGACCAGATTTTGATGGTTCAGGGTATTTTTGGCCACTGGCCTGACATGAAAAATGGAAGAACAGTTGGGAAGCTGAAGCACCACTCACTCTGTGAATTTCCTCATCAGGGAGTAGGCAGACGAGCAGCTCAGGTGCTAACACAACAAGCTTCCCTGACTTTCCTCCAGGTACCCGTCACTGAATATCTGCTCTCCAGGGGAGTCCGGGTAGATCCACACCCCTCGGATTACAGAAGACACCAGCTACTCAAGGGGCTTTGCAGTCCAGTGGCAGTGCTGTCAGAAGTACTGGAGATCAAAATATCATATCTGCCTAGTGCACAGTGAGCAGATTGATAAGGGAATTAATAAGGAAATGGACTCGGTAAGGACATGGACTGCCACCACCACCCAGCAGCTCCTGGGAGGCAGGAAAGCGAGAGCGGCATCGCCCTGCACTGGCTCTGTCTGAGGCACATGGGTGATGGTTCGTCCATCATTCCAGCTCGCTTCTAAAGCTTGTGCCAAATTACAGCGTAGGTCTGCTTGATCTCCAGTGAAAGAGTTTAACTGTTTGCTAAACAAAAGCGATCCTGTCAGTCCACACTCGTGCTCGCAATTACCATTCCACCAACGTAACGATGCGTTTCCACGCACTGCTGCTCTACCAGAAGCGTCGGTTGCCATGTAGCTGTTTAGTGAAGCAACGCATTGCTCCTGTGAAGTAGGCAGGTGATGTCGTAGCTATAGCTGTGGGAAAAGATGTTGGAGCTCACATGGGCTACGTAGTGAAATAACAGCAATTGAGTCTGCATCCTGGGAAAGTCAGTCCCTGGTGCTTTAATCACTTGCTCCCATTCTTGCTTCCAGAGGCAGGCGGGATCCTCTGCTGGCACGTGTTGGTGTATCTCTGTTAACTTCAGGGCAGATGAGTGATGGAGGAGAAGAACGTGTTTTCTCTGACAGCAAAACGGCAAGGCAGGTTTCCAAGGCAAACTGCTGAGTTTGCAGCTGATCCCAACAGCCACCTGTTGATGCCATTGCAGGTGGCTGGTCAAAAAACTCATTCCTTACCCCAGCCCAGGGGTCAGTGACTCAACACCCTGACTTAGGCTTAGGTAATTAGTGCAATCTAATCATACTGTCTAAGAGTGGGGAAATGAAAACTGAAAAGAAGTGGAAAAAATGGAGAACATTTGCGTTGGAGAAGGGGAGAATGAAAAGAAAAAAAAGTTCTGTATACATAGGAAAAGCTCCTCCTGTATGTAAGAGTAATGGAAGGAGAGCCCTTTGGAGATGTGAGATGAGTTACCCGTAAAGCAGACCTGATCAACAGCTGGCGTTCTGCAATTAAAGCAGTGGGTTATAAACTTTTCAGCTTACCTTCAGTAAAACAAGAAAAACACACTGCTGGGTTAGACTGCTTCGCTGGTTTGCCTGACATATGGTAGTGACCCCAGGAGATACTTGTTTAATGGAAGGAGAGCCCTTTGGAGATGTGAGATGAGTTACCCGTAAAGCAGACCTGATCAACAGCTGGCGTTCTGCAATTAAAGCAGTGGGTTATAAACTTTTCAGCTTACCTTCAGTAAAACAAGAAAAACACACTGCTGGGTTAGACTGCTTCGCTGGTTTGCCTGACATATGGTAGTGACCCCAGGAGATACTTGTTTTCTTTTCCCTGCAAAAAGTAAAGGCCAGAAATACTCCATTGGAGATGAGAGTTGACCATGGCT